GTGCAGTTAGAAATACGAACTTGGAGCCTAGAAAGGTTTAAGGTTAGTGATAGAGATTTGGCAGTCTTCATTATGTGGTCAAAGGCAGAGAATAAGTAAGATTGCCAAGGACAAGCAAAAAGATGAACAGGCTGAGGATATATGTTGGAAAACATCATCATAGCTGATAATGAAAAATTATGACTTGTGGAGGACAGAATATGAGGACAAGACTGGTAAAATTGTGATCTCATTAGCAAAAGTGAGGAAATCAGAGAAGGAAATTTGATGTTTAGTTTTAGACAAGTTGAAGACTTTTCTTTCATCATCAGTAGGCAACAAGACATGCTTCTTTATATCTGAATTGTTTCCATTTATCAATTATATATTTTTTAAAGGCTATCTGACCCTCACTAAAAAATGTATATGTTGGAAAGGCCACTGGATTGGGAGTCAGAAAGTGCTTGAGTTTGTTCTGGACCACTATTCATTCAAATATTTATTAAACATGTACTATGCTAGATATTGGGTTGCAGTGGTAAGGTATCTGTCCCCATGGAGCTTACAAATAGAGAAAATGTAATCAAATATGCACAAATAAATATGTAAATACATGTGTACTAAATGATTTTAAACAGCAGTTGTAGGATATGTGTGAATTTAAAACATAGAGATCAAGACCTCTCCTAAAATGAGGGTTAGGAAAGGCTTTTTTTGAAGAAATAATAGTTGAGATTTGATTAAAGTGGAAGCAGAAATAGGGGACAGTTTTCCAAGAAGAGAGGATAACATATACGAAGAGCTGACAAAAGAAGGAAGCATGGCCATTTTGAATTTCTGAGAGTAGGCTATATGGATAGATTGGAGAGGATAAAGTAAAAGAGCCTTTGAATGGGTCTGGTGAGATGGGAAGAGTCTAGATTATTGAAGATTTCATAAGTCTCCAGATATTTATTCTGGACAAGAAGTGGTGGGTGCTTCTACCAGAGTGGTAGTGAAGAAGGAACGAAGTAAACTAATATGTAAGACATTTTAAAAAGTAAAATCAGCAGAACTTGAAAAATTAGTGTGGGTGGGGTGTGGGAGTCAAAGATGAATCTCAGGGTTTTTTCTGGTTTGCACAACTGGATGATGATGTTGCCATTTTACCAAGAGGGAGATCCCTGGAAAAGCAACTAGATTTGTGGGGGAGTGGGAGTTCATAAGCTCAGTTTAGGGTATGCTGAGTTAAAGAAGCATTTGAAATATCCAGGTGAAGATTCCAAAATAGGCATTGACACACAGATCTGAAGGAAAGGACTAGAAAAAAGGAAGCAACAAGGCAGGAGTCATTGGACCATAAATGGAAATATAAAACACTGGTGTGGACAGGATCATAGGGATAACAGTGTCTGTGGAGAGGAGGGCCTCAAATCAAACCTTTAAAAGGAATTAAAACATATAAAGTCCAGGTAAAGAAAGATAACATAGCAGATGAGAGTGAGATCATGTGACCACATAATTAGTAAGAAAAGCAGGAAGAAAGTGAGTATTTTAGGAAGGAGGGAAGGAGTAATCAGCAAACACTGTGCCTTTGGGCAGTGCCTATAATCTGCTTGTTTACCCGTTAAACAGGTAATGTTTGTCTGCATATCTCAGATCATTGTTGATCAGATCTGATACTGTTGATCTGATCAGATAAGATCTGCTAATGTTTGAGAAATGTTGAAATCTGTCATTTTTATTATGTAATCATTCTCAGTTCCCAGGGCTTCTTGTTTGGTTGGTTGGTTTTTAACACTGGGACCATTCAAACTCTTATCTTACTCTTCCAGGCCTCTTTAGAACAATGAAAGAGCCAAAAAGATAGGAATTTGAACATGAAAATATTCCTAGTTCTTTTGCGTAGTTGCATGGGAGCAATTATATTCAGGATCTGGAGCGTCTCTCCCACTTACTTTTCTCTCCTGCGGTTCCCCTAGACACCTGGAAGTCCCCAGAAACTATTTTGGGACTTGTGGGTCAAGGCTTGAGTGCCTCCATTCTGTAAATAAAACCACTGGGTAATCAGTTCTCTGTGATTAAAGTGCTGGCTAAGGATGGAAAAACTTTTGGTATTCAGAGGATGCTGTATTGGTACACTCTTCCTTCATCTTAAGGGTTAATTAGTGACACATCACAAGCTGTCCCCACTTTGACTTCTGGAGTGGTCATTACTTAATCTTTTCAAAGACGGAAGGCCAGATGATAGGGGCCTCTTCCTGCAGATCTCAGACATCCAGTCACCTAGGACAGTGATTGTCCTTTACCCTCACTGCTGAAAAGTAGAGCTAACTAGCACCAAAACCTCACTCTTCCTGTAGGTCACTGTGGCAATAGTCTCAACCACAATAGACTACTGTGTACAAATGATTCATTTCCAGACTTCTGCTTTCCTTTAAAGAGTCAGCTGTCATGTGCTGCCTGTGACTCATTCAAGCTCCTTTGCCCCAGGGAAATAAGCACTCTCAAGATTCCTGAGTTCCAGGCTCCTCTGGGAAGCCAAGATAGTCATGTTGTTTTTATGATGGTGCAGCACAGAAGCATTCTCACTAATTCCCACATGCTCTACTGCCAGTTAAAGGACCATTGTTTCTGAGCCTAAGAACTAAGAGAGAAGGGAATTTGTGTTGCTTTGATTATGCAGGCCAAAATTAAGCCAGTTGTAGCATGTAAACTATTAAAGAGCTAGTAAGTATTTCCACAGTGATTCAGAGGGTGAGAGATGGCCATACATATACTTGATATTTTAATTCCATATTTTGCTTATCAGGGAATGCAGAGACTTTTGGAAATTTCAGAAAGTGACCTTGAACTTTTCAAACTCAATAAACTATGTTTGCCTAATGAAGCTCTACAAAGAGCACTGATCTTATGTTTGTTTTCCCCCTTCTTGTTTTTAAAAATTGACATGGTTTTCTAACCTGTGGTTTTTTACTTAGCAAACTGAGAAATTTAGTAGTTTTAAATAAGGATTTAATATTGAGGAGGAAGTTTTGGTAGTCACACTTTCTTAATCTCATTTCCTGAGCACCATCTCACCAACATCCTTTATATTCCAGAATCGGGTCAGCTGTCATGCATTTTTGCCAAATGTTCATACTGTTGAGGCCAGAGACAGATGAATCACTTATTGCCGAACTAAATTAAGCTAAAATGTGCCATTTGCAGCATCTCTCTTACAGAATTATTCCCTGCTACTACTTGTGTCAGTATATTTTGGATGCTTGGATATATTATATTCATAAATCAAATGAACAAAGGCAAAAAATGTTTTAAATGTGTGTAGGAGCTAAAAAACCTTATGTTCTTTTTCCCCCCTAATATAAATGAAAGCTAATTATGTAACTAAATGTCAAATCTAGTCTATATAGTGATTTTTAGATACTATCAACCTTGACATTATTGGCAACCATTTTATGGACAAACCATATTTTATAGTTTAGTCTCATATAGTATAAATGAAGTCAAGTTCGGTTTACTGGATATTTATTTTAAATAAGGAATATCATAACCTGGATAATGTGAACATTTAATTTTATGGTTAAAACCTGTTTAATGAAGATCTGTTTCATTGAAAATACATACTGGTTGCCTTTAATCAATAACAAACTAAAACCAAGCTTTTTCTATGATGAATAGCAACTTCACTAAGATAGAATGGATATAACTTTTTGTGACTCTCCCAGTTTATTTCCAGTGATTTAAGGAAATTTCACATTGTTCTTAAAGCAAAACTCAGGGAAATTTAATTTTTAAAAATTTCATGAATTTCATTAGTAACAGAATAGTATTCTGAGGTCAAAAGATTATCATTAATGGCAGTTGATCAAATTCACAAACTTATTGAGCATCTCTTTTATTAAAGACATTGGAATAGGGGCACCTGGGTGGCTCAGTGGGTTAAAGCCTCTGCCTTCAGCTCAGGTCATGATCCCAGGGTCCTGGGATCGAGCCCCACATCCCTGCTCAGCAGGGAGCCTGCTTCCTCCCCCACCCCCCGCCTGCCTCTCTGCCTACTTGTGATCTCTGTCTGTCAAATAAATAAAATCTTAAAAAAAAAAAAAAAAAAGACATTGGAATAAAACTTAAAGGATACCAAAAAATAATAATAATAATAATAACATCCCCACCACCACCTCCCCACACGGGGAGCTTTTAATTTAACAGAAAGGTAGTTACACAGTGAACAAAGTTTAATAAGAATTTAAAACCAGTAATTTAACTAAAGTTGTCATGGTATATAGCATATGCTTAATTACCAAATGAGTGATACACTATAGGCATTCAAAAAAGGCAAAGAACACTTGCAGATGTAATCAGAGAGGAAGTTACAGGAATAGGTGGGATTTGAGCCAAGCCAACTATTAATAATTTTACCAATTGTGGGCTAGAAATAGAAACAAAGCATGTTTGGTGTTGGAGTGACAGCTCTGTGGGGCAGCTTCTATCTAATTATCTGCCTACATCCACATAGTGATTCATATGTTTGTTTTCTAGTTCACAATTTACTGAAGGCCATTTGTCTAAATATGATGGCAGTTACAGTGTTGGCACCCCCTTTTGTAGAGTTGATTGGGCTGAAGTGTAAAAAATATACAAAGTGTCTCATTGTAAAAGATCATCTATGCTCTGAAGATAGACATTTGTTAATACTCAAGAGAAAAAACATTTACAAACTCAAGTTGATAAAGGTAACGAGAACTTATTAAAAAAAAATAGTCTTGAACTTCAGGTGCCTGAGGGTCCTGTTAAAAATACAGATTCTGAATCTGTAGGTCTGGAGTAGAACCTGAGAATCTGTGTCCATCAGTTTCTCTGAAGAAGTAGATGATATGGTCTCTGCACTGTGAGCAGCAAGATCACAGAGAGAATGACACCACGGTTCAGGGAGGGCTATGTCTTCAACAGTAAAACCCCATTGAAGGAAAATAGCAATATTGTTAGAGTTTTGTGAGAATAAAGGACAAAAGCCACATAAAATGCTCTATCTTTGCCTTTAGCACGAAAGCAAGAAATTATCAAAGTCACTGAACAACTGATTGAAGCCATCAACAATGGAGACTTTGAAGCTTACACGTGAGTAGAGGCACACTTACTTTGCTTTCGTGCATATGACAAAATATTTTCTATGTGAATGCATTCTTCAGTGTACCAGAATTCATGTATATTTAACCCCAGGTTGATGTTAGCAGTAGTTTTATTTCAAGGTATAAATTAAGTGTCCCCAGAGGAGAAATAAATGTAGGATCGAGAGAGGAAAGACAAGAACTTCTCATAGCAGGACTGGGGCTTTCTCTGGCAATTTACAGACTTGTAATCACCAGCACCTCTGTGTGGGGAAGGCATTCCAGGCAGAGCATCCATGAGAGCAAAACTATGAGAGAGAAAAGCACAAAAAAAGGCATTTTGTTTTAAGAAATGTTTTGCCTCACACTCTTGAGGTTCTGGGACAGCGAGAGAGAGAGATCAGGAGGCAACGTAAGGCAGCCTTCTTCCTCTTCTACCTCAACTCTATCTCCATCTCTTTTATGAGTTTGTTTCTTAGGTAACAATTTATTTGAAGGAAGGTCCAAATGCTTAGTTTATGAACTACTGGATCATAGAGTGTGTAAAGGAAATTACTCCAATCAAATAAAAATAAAGCATTCAAATAAATAGGGCATGAAGGCTTATTTCACAAAGTATGTGGGTCAATAAGCTAGCTATTTGGGTGAAGATTAAAAAATCAGTCTAAGCCTTCCCCTTACTCCATACAAGTGAGCTCCTCTTGAATGAAAGAGTTAAATGCAAAAAAGAGATTGAATTTGATCTCTGATTGGAATAATTTTTCTAAGTTTAAAAGCAAAGGAAATAATCACAAATGAGAAGATAAAATGATTAGGCAACCCAAATAGATAAAACTTGTATACTTAAAAAAAAAAGCCAAAATAATAATTTTAAAAAGCCAAAATTTGCAAATTTCAAGGCAAGAGCATTTTCTGCCCATGAGTTCAGCAGGGATAAGAACTGCTGACAACCAACGGGGTGCAGATCCTGCAGGACTATGGTGACTTTCCTGGATGGGGTATAAAGAGAAACAAACCTTTAGGTTAGTTGTGGTAGCAGGAGTTGGGGGGACATGTAGCTCATATATACCAGAAAGCATTTATGAAGTTTCAAATTGTTTTAGCCCTCTAATTTTACTTATAACAAAAATGTAACATGGTGTGGATTTTTAATGTAAAGCATGGATAAAAATTATAAACATTTTTTGAAGCAGCATTCATAATAGTGAAAAATTGGAAGCATCTGTCCAACATTAAGGTAACCAGTAAGTAATATGTGGTGCATTTGGTACAGTAGATGTTTTTGCAGTTTCTGGCACTCTGGCAAAATGCTTATGATATAGTCATGATGTCCATTAATTATTCCAGCTACAATTTTAAAAAAGCATTAAAAATGGAATGAGATATGCCCAATTGGTTTTAAAAAGGATAAAAGAACATTGCCTTGGGAAATGCAATTATGTGTGAAGTTTTTTTTTTCTTTTTTTCCCCAATTTTATGTAAGGTATTTCTTTTTTCATCAGTTACAAAGAGTCAAATATAAAATAATGGAAAAGAGTAATTGAGGGTAAGAATTAAATCCAAGATTGCTACTTATAAATTGTATATGTGCATATAGATGCAAACACATGCATATACATATGTATTTGTATCAACTATTTAGCATGATTTAAAATAAATACCTGAAATGAAATAGTACAATATGAAGTTTGAAAGAAAACTATGTCAGAGACCAGAATTCCCTTTTAAACAGTTGAGAAGTCCGTGCCATAGAACCTGCTCTTTTATCCTTTTTGCTGATAACTTTGTTAGACCAATAGGATTCTCTAAACATGAAAATACTCTTTAAAAATATATATATTTTTTTGGTACTAGCATTCTCCTGTGGAATAGTAAAAAGTGTGTTTTGGTGGGGGTGGTAGCCAGGCAAAACTGGGATATTTCCTATCTTCTCCAGTAGTTCAATGTAAGGTGTTTTAAATAATGCAATCCCTTGGAATTGCATCAGTTTGCCTATGGAGGCCTGTAATCTGGCCTGATGTTGCTGATAATCCAACAGGACCTTCCACTTGGGAGCTTTCTGGATGATAGAATACATTGGTGAAGTCCTTAGAATACCTGTTCAGAGCATGTGTGCCACACACATACATCAAGGGGCAGCTTTGTGAATCCTTTATTAATCCAAAGCCTATGACAGGCAATAAATGCATACATACATAGGAGAGAGAAAGAACAGATTAACAGGTTTTCAGATCTGTTGACTCTTTTGATGGTTAGGTAAAGAGATCAATCATGGCACAGTGATTCTCAGATGATTTTAGTGCCAATATATGGTAGTAAAAAATTTTGATTCACCGATGTTGACAACCAAAAATCATATTTATAGAGGAAGTAGTAGACCCTGGCAGAATAAATTCCATTACCGTAGAAACAGTGCTCTTCCCATTTGCTTCTTAGGGATTATATATATTTGACTTTGAGCTTGGTAATACCTGCCCACCAGTAAGTCTAAGGCAAAATGTAAAATGCCTCCCCGCTACACCTGCTACCCCTGCCTTTACGGCTTTTTTTTTTTTTAACACAAAGGATAATCACTGGTTTGTTGTTTGATTTTTAAAGTATTTTCTACTTTTAAAGTTTTCCTTAATATCAGTTCCACATTCTATGAACAATATTGCAAAGAACCATAGTGAGCTGGCCTTTTGAAACTTGTATTTCTGTTGAACAGTTAAAATGTTTTACCTCCCCAAAGGGGAATGTTTTAGATGTAGCCCCAAAATAGTCCCAAATCCTCTTATCTACTTTGTAAACTTCCACTAATTTGTCAAATCCAGATCTTCTGTCACTTCCTCTGAGAAGCCTACCTTGATCACCACAAGCCCAAGGAACTGTTTCCCCCTTTGTTTCCATGGACTTACATGCATACCCAGTGCTCACCAGATCAAACGACTAACCATTATTCCCCAAACATACTCACACTACTATGCTATTGTCATTGCTACCCTCCTTCTTCCTACCACCTACCACACACTCGGACAATTCCTACATATTCCTGAAAGCCCAGCTCACATTTTTTTTCTCTTAAATCTTCTCTGTCCCATATGTAAGTAATCTGGTTTTTAAGCACTTTGTATTTATTTCTATTTCAATCTTAATTGTTGCATTGTAATTGTTTCAAAAAATATCTGCTACTTAGTAGGTGTTTAACAATTCTTTGTTGAATGAATTTCTCCAAAGAAAGTTTAAAAATGTTGCATCTCTTTATTGAATTACATTTCTAGGATTAAAAAGAAAACTAATTTGTACATTTTATTAATTTTATTTTAAAAGTTCAATAAACTTTGAATACAGCTTTTCCAGGAAGTAAAGGATGTGACACATGCCTTCAAATCAATAATATGGATACTTGACAGGAATGTAGAAGGTTAATTTGTTCCAAATTATTTAATGTCAGAGACAAAGTTGGTTTTGTATGACTTGAAGAGTGTATTGGACTTAGTATTTAAAAACTAAGAGAAAAACTGGAGAAAGACTAGAAAATTCACCTTGGAAATATGAGAAAGCAGAAATTTTTAAAAAAGAGAGATTCCTAAAGTAGTATAGATTATCATCTCCTGTAACATGCTATATTATCTTTCCCCATCAGAGTTCTCTGCAAAATGCTTTTTTAGCATTTGTTCCTCAATGCACCTTACCAGGCCTGTGAAAGAAATTTTATATTGTTAGTGTTTTTTTAAAGAGACTCCTTCACAGTTTGATAAATAAGAGTGGATATGTGGGAAACAAAAGGTATTAACTCATGTATTGGTTATTTTAATTATATTTTTGGTTTTTGTTGTTGTTGTTTATTTGTCCCTACAGGAAAATCTGTGACCCCGGCCTTACTGCTTTTGAACCTGAAGCTTTGGGTAATTTAGTGGAAGGGATGGACTTCCACCGATTCTACTTTGAAAATGGTACATTTATTCTAAATTTAATAACATGCCTTTTCCAACTTCTCTTTGAATTTCTCCCAGATTTGCAGTTTTCTTTGCTGTATTCTACAGGGAGAATTTTCACCTTAGTCCAGCATTTTATATCATAAAATTTTCTGTATTTGAAATTTCTAAAAAATGACAAGCTTAAAAGCTTTGGTGTTTTGAAAACTATCTGATTTATAAAAGGTAATGTTGATTGAATATACCCCATATAGTCCCAGTAAATGTATAAGCTGTAAAATGAATCACCAAAAAAGTAAGTTTTCATAGAACATTGTGTATATATGAAAAAATAAAAGACACCACAGCATGTCAGAATATTTGACATAAAGGAATACTTTCAAGTATACTTAGTGCTCATTTTCAAAGTAAAATATACCTGAAAATGAGGGGTCAGGTAAATATTTCAGTTGCCATTAAAAGAATTTTAGTGGTCTCAGAGCAAAGAGCCACACAAAAGAAACTCCTGCAGAAATCCTTGAGGTCATCAAAAAAGAAGTAACCTAGAAATTCCTTTTATCCTCTTTTCCTTATGCCTAAAGACTAGGTATTGTGTTTCGTTTGCATGATGGAAAGAATGAATTCACCTCTTTTCAGTGATATCTTGGTAAATTAAGTGTATTAATGATTAGGATAATCAAGCTCAGTTCTAGTAATTATAAGCATTAGCACGAATGTCTGCCTTGGCATGGTTTTTTTTTTTTATATCACTGGACATTTGTGAGACAAAGAATTACATGGTAAATTGGCCTTACAAAGCTTCAGTAAATTTTCTCATCCTCATAATGTTTCTTTCAGTTGGTTCTCCATTGACACCATCTCATCTCTAGTAAAAGAATAATTAACCCATTAAATATTTAACTTACTTCCACACAAACTATGTATCATTACTTACCATAAATACATATTCTTCGTAGTGAGGTATTCTTCTGTATATGATTGTGGCACTGAGTAGTTTACTCAGATCTCTTCTGAGAATAGGAAGCTGGTTTGGACAGCAGGTAACAACAGTTCAGGCTGTGGTAGTGATCTAAAAGAATGACATCAATCATCATTTGCACTAAATCTTCACATCTCTTGATCACTGAATAATTGGAATGTGTAGCTATTGTCAAAACACCTAAGGCTGGAACCTGCAGAGGGCTGCCTAATCAAAGATTGAACTAAAGAATCAGAACCAGGCTAGATGACCAATAACCAAATTTTGGATTTTCAGTGGATGACCACCACTGGACTATTATGGAATGGACTTTATGAAGTAAAGGAGTCACAGGATGAAATAGGAAAACAAATTCATCCTATGGCCAGTTTTTTCTTGTTTTGTTTGGGAAATCGTTATCTGCATATTTTATACTTGTTATAACATTTCCCTTGTTCCATGTACTTCACCAACTAACAAAAACGAACAAGACCATAGGATATCCTGTCACCTGCTCCCTGCATCGGGGCCAGGCCTTCTCCGTTTTTGTATCATGGCTTCTGTTTCTAACCACTTCCCATTGTAAATAAATACATCTCCCACCAAAGTTTCCAAAGTGACATTTAAATTCGCTGTAAAGGGAAACACAGAAAATAATGACTATCTACTTTTGCTTTTTCTCTTTTCCTTTATACTTTGCCAGGGACTCAATTAGTGCAAACAATTCACAGTTGAATGAATGAATGAATGAATGAATGAATGAATAGCGTTGTGTACATTAGCCCCAGGTGAAGTTACTGGTTTTGATTTACTTTATGCAGAAACTATTTTTCATGTTACTCTCTTTCAGCTTTGTCCAAAAGCAATAAACCAATCCACACAATTATCCTGAACCCCCATGTACACCTGGTAGGTGATGATGCTGCCTGCATAGCATACATTAGGCTCACACAGTACATGGATGGCAGCGGAATGCCAAAGACAATGCAGTCAGAAGAGACTCGTGTGTGGCATCGCCGGGATGGAAAGTGGCAGAATGTTCATTTTCATCGCTCTGGGTCGCCAACAGTACCCATCAAGTAAATATTTCCAGGCTGTCAGCTTCTTTGTTAATATACCCATGGTCAGCGTTTTTTTACTTATTCCATTGTTAATAACATGATATATGTTATTTAATGCTAGCAGTCAGTTACATAAGTGGGAATGCTCAAGGAAAAACAGATTGTAACTGTAGATAGATCAGACCAGCTGTTTTTGTGTTGAAACACACACAGTAGAAACTGGAGGATACCCTAGCAAGCAGGTTTCTTTTTGTTAAATCATGTAATGAGGCAAACCGACTTCATCATCACAATTGGCAGAGGAAGGTGAAGAGTTTCTAAAGTGGCCAATATAGTGTCAGGAACCTTATAGATTATCTACTGGGCTCAGTTACGGATATGAGAAGAAATTTATAAACATAACATTTAAAATACAAGTAGCAGGTACCTCAGGGTCTTCCTCCCTATGCCGCTTTACCTCAGACATTATGTCTGCTCTTTCAGTCAGTAATTGGATGAATACTTATTGTACATCTCCTAGGTGCTTAACTTGTACCAGATAAAACACAAGGTAAAAGTTATATTCTAGTTTAGAAAAAGACTTAAATTCTACTTTAGAAAGCAAGTTATCACTGATACCACAGAAAATTTATGAGGTTCATAATTTCAGAGGAGAATGGAATGAATGACCAATGTAGCAAATTGTTAATAAGTTTGGAAGTATACCTTGTGTAGAAGATATCACTTAAAACCTTGTCCAGCATTCCGAGTGGCATTTGGAGACCTGGAACAAATAAATGGTAGAGAATCAAGGAATATCAGAAAGATATGACAATGTCAGGATGTTAGTTTCATATGGTAGAGGAGTATAGGTAAGGAAGACTGGCTCCAACTGGAGTAAAGGGGAATATTAAAGGGAAATAAAGTTGCATAAGTGAAGGGATGAGATGAAAACAAGAAGGGGAATTTAGACTCAGGTTCAGCACACTGCTGATCTCATTCCAAATTCTCTCACCAGAATCACCTGTAATATTTGGGGGGTTGGCGGGGAGTGGGATGGGAGAGTCAAATTTATACAAACAGCCATTCAACTCCAAAGAATCTATCAAAATTTCTTAGTTTAATAACATACCACAGTGGTTTTCAAAGGCCTTCTCTATAGCCTTAATAATTAGATATCACTGTTGGATTTGTAAAAAGTAGATGAAGGGAAAAAAGATAGCTATTATTTTTAGAATGAATTCCAGCATATTAAGAGAATGACAAAAGGAATATAATAATGAAGACACCCATGTTTGTGTGTTTTTTACCCCAAAGAGGTACAGCACTAACTGCCAGTTAATATGGAAGGGATTACATTCATACAGTACTATAGGATTAGGTTTTTCTGCAATTCCCTGAAGTGTTTATGGGATAGAGCCTATTTAAGAAAACTTCATTTTATGCCAGGTGGCTTAAATGGGGCTTCTCTTAATAGGCCATCCTGTATTCCAAATGGGAAAGAAAACTTCTCAGGAAGCACCTCTTTGTGGCCAAACATCTAAGGCCTGAAAACCATTCACATATGGGTCTTGTAAGTAACATCCTGCTCCATGATACGTTGTGAATGGAGCTAATGACTAAAAAGCTGCATGGCTGTTTTTTCTTGCCTTTACGGATATTTTCTTTTGCATTATATTTGATGGAAAATATAAAAGGTCTTTGAAAACTTAAAGGATTTTTGCATGAGCTCTTGAGTCTAATGTTCAGCCTCGTTTTAGAGCATAACCCTTGTTTTAAAGGTATTAAGTGCTGAGAAGAGCCTCCCTTCAGCATATGGATCTTGGCATTTTCGGATATCCTGGAGTTCCTCATCGGAAGTCCAGTCTGGGTCAATTCAGACAACTCTCAATTATCCAGACCTAATATAAGTCAAGCTCTAGGATTTTTTTGCTCTCTGTTTTTCTAGAGGTAGTCATTTGTGTTACACACTGGGCTAAGGTTAATATATAAATTAATTTGCTATGCCTGACTAACTATAATGGGATTTGACTATGAAGACAGGCCACAAGAGGAAGTCAAGCCGAAATTTAAAACTTACATAGTGGGTAATTCCAGAGGATAATTGAAAGTTGACTGTAAATTCATGCCTGTGTTGTTTTTTAAGATTTGTTTCTTAACTTGGATTAAGATTCAGATATGTGTGCTAATATTGTGAATATCTCCTCCACTCAAAGCACTGAACCTTGTCAGAGCTTTTAAGAAATAGTGCTCCCTGCTGTTGGATTAAAAAACAGAAAGAGACCTCCAATTAAATAATAATATGTTTTCCCTACTTTTGAGACTGTATTCCTCATTAAATGGACTTCCAGGTTTAACTTCCCAAGGAGTCTAAGAAAAATGACAAAAGCTAAGAATGCACTTAAACTTCTCACTCTTTCAACAAAATGATATGTTTAGTAAACATGAATGCTTACAATGCATATTTAAGTTCAATAATGTGATTGAAGCCTGGGTTCCTGTTTCTATTTTCAGCTTAGCTCTGTGTGGACAAGTTGATAGATAACTAATATTGTTTCCTATTTTAATATTGTCTCTGTTTAAGATTGTGTATTTCATCTTTTAATGATCACAAGCAAAGATCTTTTATACAGTTGTATTTTTGATCTATTTAGCTGAGTTACAAAACTATAGCCTGGTCACATCTTTGGCAAAACAATTTGACAATATTTTGTAAAACAATATAACTTATTTCTCGCTCCCCCCCCCTTTCTTTCAGCTAAATATCAACAGTGCCACTTCTGCATTCTCTGTTCTCAAGGCACCTGGATGGTAACCCTGGGCCGTCCTTTCCTCCTCTTCATGCATGTTTCTGAGTGCATGAAGTTGTGAAGGTCCTACGTGTAATGCATATGTGATGCACCATCTTGTCATATATTCCTTCCTATACATTGTTTACACTTGCACTATGGGGATGTTCCATGCAAACTTCAATTACTGTTGGCAAACAATAGGGGGAGGTCAGACAAAAAAAAAAAATTCCACAATATTCCAAGTACAACCTACTCATCAAGTTTCTGTTTATGCCAAGATACAACAGACTTCAAAATTATTCTCTGAATGACAATTTGTAAGAGAAATGTAAATTTTTAAAACTCTTTGCTGTTAATCAGTTTTGGGCTTATTTAACAAAAAGCAAAAAAAAAAAAAAAATATATATATATATACCTTCGGTTTTGTGGTGTGATCCTGGTTGAAATTGCTGTCTAACAAAGTAGGTTAATATGTGGGTAAAATCACTCATGAATGTGGAAATGAGAATCAGTTGGTTTGCTACCATCTAAAGTCATGTTGTTTTTGGTCAAACTGTAAACTGGAAAAATTCACATAATTTATGAGTGATCACTTTAAGATATATTTACACTTTTGGTGAATTCCTTTCTCAAATATGTGCTCTCTTTTCTCCATTTGCTCTTACTCATTGCTGTTTGCTTTTTCTCCATCCTCTTCTGTCTTTTCTCACACACTACAGACAGAAAGGAAAGTGAAATTTGCATCATGGAGGTAACTAAACTAGCACTTTTGATCATCTTCCAGACCCACAAAAATGTCAAGATTTTAAAGGCTTCTTATTCTACTTCGGCTCTAGTTTGGACATAGGGATCCTAGGTCAGCGGTATTAGAATTGCTTAAATTTCAGGTAAAAACAGTGAGGTTCCTAGTGTCCCACCATCTGGGGGGACTGGCAAGAATACCAGGTTGTAGTGCATCAGGGTTTCCTGTACACACACTTAGTTCTGCCTGGTGGGGAGGGGCCCCTCCTGCTCCACCAGCAGGGCTAGTTTTCTAAAGTCAGAGAGGCCGGCGAGTGATTTCCATTCTCATAAGTGTTTAGAACTTGATCTCTGTGGCTTGTGCTTTCTTAGCTTCTCTCTTGTGTCAGTAACATTATCTCCCTCTGAGGAGTTCAGATTTTCCAGTTTAAAAAAAAAAGGGAAATGCCCAGATTTTCTTTGTGCTTCTCATTTCTCCTTTGTTTATTCAACTCCTAGAAGGCTGTTTTTCTTCCCTGAAATGCTTTATAGTGCATGGTATCTTCATCAGCGTTATTTTAATAATAGTAATTCACAGTCTTCAGAATCCTATTTTTAAAGCAGAAGCAAAAAACTAAACTCTCCTCTCATTTCACCTTTCTGTGTTAACTAATCACCTTAGATATTGTTGCTAGTGGATGTATGGTAGATGGATTGAAGCTTTTCTGATAATTACACGATTTAAAAATATATATTTAAAATAAATATATACAGTAAATGTATTGAGCCATGTTAACCTGCCAATGAGATCTGTGAAAAGTAATGGCCTCGTTTTTCCCTTTTTGATTTCTTTTACCTTTTTGTGAACCAGCTATACGTGGCATACATGTATTTTAAAAATAATAGGTATAGAGTGGTTTTTTTTTTTTTACACTTTTAACTTAGCATGTGGTGTTGAAGTATTACCGTAGATCAAGTTTGTCTTCCGCACTAAGATGTGAGGAAATTGTGATTTGTTCTCTCCACCACAACTGAATTACACATTTATTATCTTCTATCATTTTGAAACACTGCAGTTTACCATGGGACACTGTATATATTTCTTGCCATAATGGTAAATGACTGATTGATATATTTAAGAGTTAATAAATTTGTGATTTCTGCTGACACTGTGTCCATCTTTTTTTCTTGAGAATAGGTACTATATGCATGCATGATGCTGGCTAGAGCCAACAGCAACGTGTCCTGCTATGGTCTCATTAGTTCATAACAGTTTACCTTTGATATAAAGATAAAGGCAGTTTACTATATGCACAAAATAACAAACTCTGCTGGGAAAATTTTTCTGAGAACAAAATAGTTAAAAACAAGAGTCCTAAAATTTCTAAATATGTCCTCCAATCCATCCTTCAGTGGCTGCTAGGGTATAATCTAAATCTGACCGTATAACTCTTCAGTGTTATCTTCAGTATACAGGCAAGCACCTTGTCTCCTGCTACTCCTCAACTTGAACTTGAACGTACAGAAGTACAACATCTTTCAATTTACTGCAAGCATCATGCATCTATTTATGCTTTTATTCTTTCCCTTACTACTTCTTCAACCTAATTCTTACTCATTCCTAAAAATCCAATTTAGAAAATCATCCATTTGATTAAACTTTCCTACACCCTGCTCTAAGCTTGCTCATCCTCTCCATATAGTGTAATTTGGGTCTAATTCTCCTGCCAGCCATTCAGTTTTGAAAATATATCTTTGTGTCTCCTCTACTGGATGGAGTATAATGGCTCTAGAGGTAAGAACTGTGGGTTCATCTTTATATCTCTAAACTCCAAGAGGGCTAGGAAGGGAGAAACCGTTAATAGTTTTGGACTGTTGGCCAAACCGTGAATGGGAATGTCAGGATACAATCGGACACTCCTGGGTTTAATGTTCGGCTCTGTTGCTGTTGTCTTTGACACTCTGAGCATGGTGCCTCTTCTTTCTGAACTTTAGTTTCTGTATTTGTAATATGAGAACAAACATACCAATTTTCTAGGGGCATTGTGAGGAGTAGAGATGATGGGTACAAAGTCCCTAGAGTAATATTTGGTAGATAATATTAAATGGTAGCTACTGTAACTGTCGTAATCACTGATACCAATACTCCCATTGTTCCTTGCTCAGGGGAGTGGAACACTCTTGTTTTATGGGCTGCTTTCTTTATGTAGGTTTATATTGCTGATACTCATTTCAAATATCTCTGCGGGAAGAGGAGAAATACTGAGTAAGGTAGTCATCTAGCCGAAAGCAGAGAAATGGCATGAAATAATATATTCTAGGAAAACTCTCAAGGAATCCTACTCTTAAGTAACTGAAATTCTGAATCCTTGTATAAGTAATCATATATAATGTAAGGGTAAACATAGATGGCCCAACACTTGAGTGATTTCCTTAAATAAAATTCTTGATATCTACAGTTCAACTGTTTTTGTGGTATCTTTTGTCTGGTTTTAAGAAGTGAGAATATATAAAAAGATTATAATGAACATCAGCATATTAGACCGGGTATCCAGATCTGAACAATAAGCCATGATAAGCCACCTTGGCTGAAGCAGCCACAGTATTCCTACCTTGCTGTCTAACAAAACCAATTCTCAAAAAGAGGCTGAAATGTTCTCCACTAGATTCTAGTAGGAAAAATGGATGAAATTAAGTATTAATATTACCCCAAAAGGATTTATATTTTTAAAGGCACTTACTGCTTTACAACACAAGACAAAAATTTTCTGGTTTGCCCATAAAAATGCTTTTTGAAAAAATGTTGCCAACCTTTGAGAATTGGAGATTCCATGCAAAAGTTATGATTTCTGGGTTAATTTGAAAAATTGCAGGATTTTGCCCCACTGGTCCTGTGCTCAGCAGTGGTAACAGAAAAGCCAACGCCCCTTTTTAGAGGCGACTGAGTGCCCTGCCTCTCCCAACCCCCAGATGCTCTGCTCCTCTGAGTTTGCCACCAGCTTCTGCAGGTGCCGAAGGTTAACCCCTTTCTGCACATCACAGAGCACTTCTGTGGGCACCTCGGCTTCAGCAGAGGCACGGGCATTTGGTTTGGGAAGAGTGGTCCCAGTCTTCCTAAACCCTACTACTTAGGCAGCTGTCTTCCTCATAGGTCTCTCCAGCTAAAGTACCCAGAATTACTTTGATTTCATTTTAAACAAGAAAATTGGGATCAAAAATAAACCCAAAGCACACAATTTTTCTGAGTTACTACTTGATGTTTTAAAGGAAGAGCAGCTGCTATTTTCATGTAAAATAATTTATCCCTTTCTCCAAGTCTTGAATGGCCAAGAACCACCAGGAAACTTTTACTGCCAGGTTCACATAGGCAGTGCAGGATAACTGTGAGCTATTTATATAAATCCTAGCAGTGTTCTATCTATAACTAGATGTTTAGAAACTGCTTTGGGGCTCAGGGGTGGCAATTTACCATAAGGCCAAAACCCGGACTCAGATACTAACACATAATGTAGTCTGAACTTAATAACTCTCTTGCTTCTTTCTCACTCCCCTGGAATCCCACAATCATGGTGACACCCACCCATCTGTGTGGGCCATGCTCATATTCCTGCTGCTGAATGTGGCTGAAGCCAAGCCCCAACTCTGCTGACAGGTGTTCTTTACATTCATGGCCGTCCACACCCCTCGCAGATCCTTGTGGCTGCCCAGGATTCCTATATCCCTAGTCCATTTTCTCCCACTCTCCCACCAACTAGCTCAGACTTTCCTTTCTGCTTCCTACCTCCAACCCGTCCTTCCCCATCCTCAGCAAGAGGGCCCTGCTTCCAATTTCACTGCAAGTGATGAAGCAGTCTCAGCATCTTTCTCTCTGCCTTCTCTCCAGTTGCTATGGGTAAATAGCTCACGCGCCTGCCGAAGGCCACACCCATCCCGTAGCACCCACTCATAGGTATCGCTATAGCAACTCTCCCCACTTACTGTCATTATAAATCATTTCCTCCATCCCCACCAATGCCTGCTTCTTCCCTGTGTAGACACACTCCTTAAAAGGGCTGCCTGCACTTGCTGTTGGCAGTTCCTCCCCTCCCAATTCCTCTTAAACCCACTTCAGTTGCCTTTACTGCTTAACCAAACAGTTTTTCTCAGTCTTCAGTGACCACCCTGTTAATTCCAAGGATCAACTTTCAGTCCTCATTTTACTTGATCTCTCAAGCTGTTCACCATCTCAGTCTTGAAACACATTTTTCTCTTGTCTTTCAGACAATACACTTGCCTGATTTTCTTCCTATCATTCTAGATGCCCCTTTCTAATCTCTAACTGCTCTCTTTTCATCAACTTGCCTTTTAATCTTGGAACTTTTTTTTTGGGGGGGGGGTCTTCACTTGCTCCCAGGATAGTTAATCCAACTTCAGTGGCTTTAGATTGTATTAATGATTCTCAAGTACACATGTCCACCCTGAAGGCCCTAAATTCTATACATCGAGATCCAACTGCCTATTTGAAATCTACAGTGTCTATCTAACCAGCGTCTCAAAGTCTACTCCCCAGCCCCCAGAACTGAGCTCTTGAGAGTCTACCAAAACCAGCTCCCCTCTGTCCTTCCCATATCTCAAGTATTTACCAACTAAGTTATTCCTTTGATCAGGTTAGACATCCTAGTTTCTTTTCTAATTCTGCTCTATTTGAAGTCCTGTCACTTTTCCCTCCAAACTGTAACCTGAATATGACTGCTTCTCACAATGCCTTCTGCTGCATCCCTAGGCCAGATCACCATCGTGTCCTCTAAACTACTGGAATATCCCCCTCACTAGTCTCTCAGCTTCTGTTCTTATCTCTCTTTACTCTTAATGCAGCCACTAGAATGAGCTTGTTAAAATACAAGCCAAAACATGTCGCTTCTCTGCACAAAACCATCCGATAATTTCCCTTATCACTCAGAGTAAAAATCAAGGTCCTTTGGGTGACCTC